ATATATAACCGTAACGTTTTATATATAACCGTAACGTTTTATAAATAACCGTAACGTTTTATATATAACCGTAACGTTTCTTACGTATTTCATGATCTGCACTCATAACTTTTGTATTTCCATTGCCCCCCTTTGGTCTCCATCCTCAAGAACCTCAACGATATTTTAAATTTAATTGTATTAGCTTAAAAGGTGTTTATACATAACCAAATGTTAGTGGGATTGCCAATGATGTGGGCTGATATCTTATAAGTTTAAGTTAATTCGACTTCGAATGTATTATCACCAATTAAGTGATGCTATGGTGAGGAGGAATATATATACTTAACAAATGACAATGAGAATCTTATATCCACATATATGATAATTGCATTCGTATTATGAAAATCTACGCAGTGCCAGAATATCTCGAATATTCACAATAATATCATCCCATAATTTTGCAGCGATTTGCAATGGTTTATTCTGCAATCTCTAGCATATATGTATGTGCAATTGTCAATGACTAGCATTTTAATGTCTTTGTCTTCCTATATCTTTATGATTCATATGTTATGTTCTCGATTACTAAAGATTTAGAATTGCTTCAAAATTGAATCGCATCCAAAATAACAACCACACCGTAAAACTGTTTATTAAGACATCAATCTACTGCACTCCAGAGAAGCGATTAATAAACATTCTATAAAACAATATGGTCCACTTTAAACTTCGATGTTATACTTAAATACAAAAATAGATTTAATAACATGCGAATTTTTGAAAACGCAATGTCTTTTTGTTGCTTGCAAGATATGTGCCGTTCTTGGCTTATCATTTCTTAAACGGACAGTAAAGTTATATCGTGAGTTGCAGCGCATCGATCTCATTCAAACGAAATCATTAGTCTTCATTTACATTATTCCATCAGTCAAGAAAATATCGCATTCAAATATGGATAAATATAATAATTTGCCAACGAATTTGTCAGCGTGCCAAAACAATCAGCTCGCGACATATCGATATATTGGTCGAAGAAAAGTTCAAAAAGCTCAACTAGATCATTAATCAATAGTTTGCTGGCCTAAATCAGCGGTTTCTTATGAAGGGCAGTTGTTGTTTACCTGAGAACGAATTGCTGCCAGTGACTAGAGTCGTSAATAGTATTTAGCATCGGTTTTTTAAGCGTACAAAAAAGCTTYTCGTGATAAATCATTTTGATAGCCCTTCATGACAATATTTACTTAATATCGTCGTTTTAAAGTTTTCGCCCTTTTTTGCAAGGACTCAAATCCGATGTTGACATGAGAAAATAGTCAAATTTGCAAAAATGTTTAAAATTCATGGATTTAAAGYTTCCTTTCAAAAGCGTTTACAAAGAGAATAATAAACCAYTTGGTTTCAATTTTTCTGGACTTTTTTGCTTTGAATAAATGTCGAACAAATGGAGAYCAAAAAAWTTGAAGTGGCGAATGATAAATTCGCATGTTGCTATCATGTTAAAGTCGTTTGAATTTTACCCAAAAACCACTAAKGTATCCATGACAAAAACTATRTTTAACAGCGAAACTTTTACGCTACAAAACTCACTTCAATGTAAAACGCTTTTTTCGAGTTCTTACCTTGCAAGATTCGTAATTCGCGGAGTACTATTAGCATAAGTACGACGAACAAGTACTGCTTTCTCAACACAGACGCAAAGTGAACGAAAAATATAAACAATCGTAGGCCGGCAGGTGACTGAGAGTAGTGGGTTACTGCTGAGCCTGGACCGCTTTCACGAACACTAATATCAAAGTCATAGTAAATTGCCTCCCTAGAGTTCAAAAATCTGCCTTCTCCTTCCAATGAATTGCTTTAGTGTGGCAATGAAAACGTGATTCCGAATCCGAAGAGTGTATTCGCTTAAAAGCAGCTTGGTTGACTGGCTTGGTTTGTGCCGTCTAAAATAACACAGTTTGCTATTAGGTAGTAATTAAAWATTAATGGCTTTAGTCGCTGTACTGTGGTTGGGTTTTCTAGGGTGATTTGAGGTCTGCATTGCCTCAATATTCATTCTACATGCCGAATCGCTCAACACAATCTATCATCTTTACTAAATTATTAAACGTAAATGAGTTCGCATGCTTAAATAAGCCAATACCTAAACAACTTTGTAAAGCAAAGCTATGGAATGAAATCTGTTTGTATTCTAACAAATCTTTTTTGTAGTCATTTTTTTTTTCTGTTTGACTTATTAATTTACAAAACTTTAACTACAAGATTGACGTCTGGTCAAGATATTCATATCATCACATACTTCTGTGTGGATATATTGGTTTATAGTGTAGCGATACTTGTTCATGTAATAACTAGTCCACAGTCAGTATTTATTTCACTTTCTCTCTGCGGGTTGCATTGTCGAGTATTGTTTAAACTGACGTCACAGCTTTCGGGGAGACTTACTGCAAAGAAGATATTTAACWTGTAATGACGATAAGCAAAAACCATAGCAGACTTTGAATGACCTATTTTGGGACTGCAAAAAAACTTTTCTAAAACCTTTTAATGTGGTATCTCGTACCAAAAGTACAGACTTACTTTGAAACTGAATCTCGTTATAAATCCACCAAATAAGATATAGATAAAAGGTATGCCGGCAGTGAGGAAGAGCGAACAGCACACTTTTCGACCTATTCAGATATAAGGGTTTTAGTGGTCTACTTGTTGTAATTTAACRTGCACCATTCATTTATATTATACCTTAGTTGAGCTATGCAAAGTGAGGTGTTTAGATATGTTTATATTCATTTTTATCGATATCAGCTTTTTTTTCGTTATTTCTTGGGATGCTTCTAAATAGCGGGTATGGCTTTAATGACCTCAGTTATGGTAAACCACAGTTTGTTCAGAGTGCTTCAACTAAAAAACCACATAAACAAGCTCAATATAAACACCTTAAAGTGATTGGACAAAATGAACGCTAATGGATTCAATAGTCCAAATCTAAACACAGTATTCAATGAAGTGTTTATTCAAAGTACTAATTCAACATTCATTCTTTGCAATGGATGCTATTTAAATTTTCACTATCTGTGTTGGCAATCATTTTAATAAACGAAGATGTCGTTCTCGGAAAAGGTGTATGAAGGATTTTGTTTGCATTTGTGTCGTGCATTTCCTAATAAAACATTCGAAATGAAATAATGACAAAATTATAGCAATAATGTTATATTATGATCATTTTCACTCATACAGCCTTTTGCACAAATTATTAGACATTTTTATATATATAAATATACCTAACCAAATATCAAAAACACCCCAGAAATTATGGTATATCTCTATTATATTTTGTCATGATTGCCTAGCATCAGGTTGTTACAGACAAAATATCAGCGACGGTATCCCATAATTTCTTGGGTGTTTTTGATATTTGGTTAGGTATATTTATATATATAGAAATGTCTCATAATTTGTGAAAAAGGCTGTATTCCAAGTTAATATAAAATTTATCAGAAATTATGGGATATCATTGCCAATATTTTTCTTTAGAAAGTGCTAGAAGTGCTAGGCAAATATCAGCGATGATATCCCATAATTTCTGATATATTTTATATACACTTGGAMTATGAGTCAAAATGATGATAATTTCTGCATATTGCTGTAATAATGGATTATAATATATATATCAAAATAAGCCGTATGAACAGAGATGTTCACATCATGATTCCTGACGGGCATGCGCAGAAAGGGCACTTATGCAGTAAAGGAGAATGAATTATCGTTGTAAAAAAGTGCGCTGAGATGTTGCGAGTAGAAGCTGCGAGGCAAACATAAACTGTGGTAATCCTTCATTTATCACCTCCCTTTGCTCTCMGGCGGCGTTTACTAATGAGATATACAGTTTATATATAAGACATAATCATGATATCATAGCAATGTAATATATSTAACGGTGGATATACAGGAGATAATAAGCAAAAAACAAATATTGGATATTTACAGGATTGTTATCATTATTATTAAAAGAGCTCTATTTTTCAATGTAGCATCCTGTCAACCCCCTGTATGTTTTTTACATTCTTTGATTACATACTATGATACGTTGTTTTAGCCAATTTTGAAAATAGTGATATGGAAATCAATGATTTTTTTTTCTAGTGAATATGCAGGAAATATTGACGATGATCTCTTTTGCTAGTTAAAGCTTATTTCAAACTATTGTCAGCTGTAGCGCTATTGTTTTTGAAATATGTGTAGCCGAAGCGCATTTGAATTCTCTATTGTTTAATTAAAGCTATTTTATACTTATAGTAAATKAATTTTACAGACATCGTGTCTGTTTTTCATATTAAATCTCACATGCTCAGAAGAAGTTTCACTTCGTTAGTCCCTCCAAATATGAATAAATAATTACAAGGTCAACAGCAATTCAAATATAAATGAAACAAAAGCGAAATCGATAGAGTTGTATAACATAAGTACAGGGTCTGAATGGGGGGGTCTCAATGTCGGTAGTCAGCTAAAATTTCAAGCATTTGTCGGTAGTCAGTTAAAATTCTAGGCATTTGTCGGTATTCGGTTATTTAAAAAAGGTTGATAAAAAGTTTGAATGCATCTAAAACAGTGCGTTATGTCAACAAAATGATTTCTAAAATGCCAACAATTGAATCCTTGAGTCTTGATTGGTCAATTGGATCCCACTCAAAGTTTTAGAGTGGCTCATCAAAACTTAAAGAAACCAATCTGAAGCAAAATTTATTTTTCCGCTGAAAACTTCGAATGTAGTTGCTTGAACAATACAAAAAACTTGTATTTAAGAAGCTAATATCTTTGAATATTGCCTAAAAATACTTATTTTAAGGAAAATGTCTCCAGTCAGTAAATATGTTCTTTTTGTTCAAATTTGTCGCTAATCAGTAGTTATTTTGTCCATTTGTCGCTAGTCGGTTAACCCCATTCAGACCCTGTAAGTAATATGTTATGATTTTCATAGAGATGGCCTGGTGCTATGTGCGAACCCCAGCAAGTGGATCTGGTCAGTGGCTCTGCTGCCCTTTAGTTTCTGATTTGATCTTCACTGTCGCATTTGTGCTTTTTAATTACATTTTCCATCATTTGTTATTTACAAAGATCCTTGTCTTAKTGTAAGATCAAGTTTTATGAATAGCCCACTTCTCGAGCGCAAATTAGTTGGATAAGCGAGGGAGTGGCAACAACCCTCAACCCTAAATCGAATATTATGMACACTGTCTTATTCAATAACGAAACTTTCCTTCGCAAAGAAATYAGTTGCTTCAGAATAAAACAAAAGCATGTTGAAATACTTAATATAGCAGTGGCCTTAAATTCAATATTTTCTCCAAACTGCATTGTAAATGGACCCCGAGCCTTTGGCAATAGTATTGGTATAAAGGGTGAGTGGTTAGTCTCATTTCCACCGCTTATGAATAATATACTTTTAGAAGCATTCAAGAACAAAATAAACCGTACCGTACTGTACTACTTGAGACAGCAGAGGTGCTGTGAAAAGCCAGCAGTATTACGTCATCATTGGTTCGGTAACGTTGCATCAGTAGATAGTGTRCGTAGTGTGATAATATATGATGACCGTGGATAGGCTTTACTGGAGTCACTTTAGAATGGAGGATTTATATTGCTAGAGAGAGTTCACCTTGGTACAAGATTAGCAGGCAATGGCCGTGTGAAGTACAGATTAGGAGGATTCTCAAAATGCTTAGACCAAACAGCGGTATYAACCATCAAGTCATCTATGGCTGTTACCTTTTATGCATCGCACCCGGAGTTGGGGACCAGAGAGGAAGTCTGGTGCAGAATGGAGGAAAGTAACCCCCCGCAACCCCTAATTATTAACAATTTGTTTAGTGACCAATGCGAGTACTGCTTGTGCTTTTATGGGACAGTATTGTCTGCCCTTAATTACAAGGGAAGTCCATAGGAAGCTGGGTCTTATTGCGTACTCAGACCACACCTGTGTGGTATTGAGATTACAGGTTCTTCACGAAACAACCAAATCAGGAAGCAGACTATATTTGTTGAGGGGGGGAGGGTCAGTTGATAACACAAAGAGGCTGACACCATCTGATCTCGCCAGGGTCTCTGAGATTGACGATTGTGCGTAAGAGCGATATTTGATAAACGTGTATGCCCTCACATGACTTACATTGATGCGAAGGACAATACTCAATACGCTTCAGACCCCCAGAGAGAACAAGCTCCTATTATATTAAGAGACTTCAGTGCTCGGGGAGAAACCTATGGAACCTATATTGGTCCATCAATCGCAAATTCGGCGGTCACACAGCTAAGAACTCTGGTGGGGAGCTTCCTTTCTGTGCAAAAATTGAATTTAGCTTTTAAGAATGGTTTCTACGCTACGGCTGCCATGTTTTGTTTAACTAAATAGACATCTAATATCAATATCTAATATCAATGTTAGGTAAACGAGCTCCAATAGCAATATAGAAGAGAATGATTATCTAGTACTACACTATTTCAAGGATAGCCTTATATTTACGCTTCCTCAAGTATTGCACGTTAAACACAACATCAGAGTCATTTAAGACTGTGATTTGTCGATTTTGCATGGTGTCAAAATGTCCATATTTCTCACAAAAGAGTTCTTTTCGCGAGGAGTAGGGGTTTCCTGTGGTGGTATACRGACGGACGCAAACTGCTTACGCGCGGGAACCCTGTGTCGATCCAAGAAAATGGGCTTGATATGGTTAACCATTTTTTCTTAGCTATGGTGCTSCGCTATCAACCTCCTTCAAGTYGTTGATAATCCACTGAAGAAACCTGACTCTTTTTKATCTAATTGGGCATTAAATTAACACCAACACGAACTTTTTCAAATGAAGACTTCTCAGGGGAGGGAGGACTATAAGGGAGACTCTGAGATCTCTCGACATCAACACAAAAAAACATTTAAGTGAAGGTTAAGAGAGCCAGGTAGCACCGATCGGAAGCGGTCTCATGATAGGTTGAGAAAACGATTGACAAACAATAGATAAGTCTTCCAACAATATAACAATACCTAACCTAACAATAGAGCTGCTATACTTAAGCAGCAATCAAAAAAACAGGATTCGATGGGTACTGCCTTACTGACTTAAGGTGCAGTCGTCTCGAAAACAAAGTATTTAACGTTATCAAGGAATTGGTATCATTTTCTCATTTTATTTCAATAATTCAGGCGGACAGCCAGAACAACATTTATACTTGGATCTTCTTTCACACCCTTGATGAGCCTATAGTCTGCAGCTATACTACAGCTAATTCCACCATCGTTTCTTTTGCTTTACAAATAATATCTTGCTCCCTGATTGGTTCAAAATTTTCGTATGTTAATAAATCGCGCCAAGCTGGTTTTTGGATGAGACCCAGCAGCGAGGCTTTGCACAATTTCTAGTTTATAGCTATCATATTTAAATGACTTTTATATCCTTTTACTTTGTAAAGCAGCGATTGGCTCCTTTTCAGAAACCCTATTTTGTGCGCGACGACAGAGGAAAAAAACTTATTCGATGAAACAATCATAAGTAATCTCTTGTTGGCATAGAAACGTCGTAAAAGATCGTTGCACCTTATCTACAATCTCGTATGTAAACCGCTGACCTCGGTGAAATTACATTACTTGTAAAATGTGGTTATATATCAAAGCAGGTGAATCAGAGAGACAGGTGCCCAATTAATGATTCTCAACTGTCAGATATGTTTGAACTTTGCCGACCAATCGATCGAAAAAAAGAATTGATTTTTTTTTGAGAAATCTGATATTAACATTGCCAATGTAGGTCATTAATATCACACATTATGTAGACCTTGCAGTCATCATTTGCATGGATAGATCAAGTGATTGCTATTTTTTTCCCTTTTTTGTCAATACGTACGAGCTRACAGTGTATGTCTTTCTCGCAACAAAATGAAAATGACTTTATTGGCATATGAGCAATCATTGTACTTGYAACTATAGCAACATTACAATTCCTGCTGACCTACATCAAACCTTAGCTATCGTTGGGAAACCTTGCATAATCCATATCAAACCTTAGTGACAACTATATGAAATCATCATTTATAKACCCTATCACTGTCAGAGCAATTAAAACCTTCCAGTTAATAAGCTGACGGTATTACCAGCTTGGGTGATCATTTGTACAATTAACAAGTAAAATGTCCTTTAGAAAGCCGGAAACTAATGAAAAASCTTATAGTTATAACTTCGTTATATTCACGCTTTTTTGTCATGCAAATCCTACGACGTGCATTAGCYTTACACTGAATTCATATTCATTTGTGAATGGAATGCCTTTTAGCAGTTTCTATTATAAAAAAACAACGTTCTCAAGTATATATAAACTTCAATCAAGTCAAAAGGGTAAAAAATATATATTACATATAAATAACAGATCATTTTCTTTTTTTTTTTTTTTTTTTGGACTTCCTTTTTTCGTCAAGATATAATTTTGTATTACAAATTAAAAAAGTGTTGTTGTTTTTTCTCTTTTTATTCTTTCGAAGAATTTGTGAGTTTGTTTTTGAATAAACGAATTTTAGAGTAATTTGGTTATTTTATATGTCTATAATGTTCGTTTTATTGGCGTTCCAATCTCCAATTCAAGAGCAAGTTGTTCAATACGCCCGCGCATTGGACTTGTATTTTCAGTCTTGTAATTAAACTAGAATTTTAATTTAGTTTAACGTTGTTTTGAAATTCGTGCGAATACTCGAAAAACTGTGCATTGTTTCGATTCAAAATTGCTGTATTTATGAACTAAGTGTACTGAGTTCATKTTAGTTCATAGTCATTTCTTACACAGAACCTTAAGAAATTTAAAATAAAATTTAAAATTGTAAATTAATATCGTGCGTAGAAAAGAGCCTGTCATTGTTATCTAGTGTTCCCCCGACTGATTTTCAAGTCATAAAAACATTTTTGTTTTGAATTTTTTACTCCTTTTGAATAATATTGAAGTGTTTTAGCGTTTGCCGGTATACGTTTTCCTACAATGTACTTGAATTAGAAGTGGAGCGTTTATAGTTGCTTCTACGATACCTTTGTCTGGCTAAAATATTCAATTGCGTTTTCTTTCTTCTCCGTTCGTTCTTCAGTTTATCTTAAATCATTATAAATTCTGTCGCCTGGATATAAGATAAGATAAGCTGGCAATTTGTATTTGAATAACAGTGAACAGTTTCAGTATGAAGATGRGACTTCAAATGATGGGAAAAACGCGATAAAATGTATATCCTTTCTATAGATTTGATGATTTTCCCCGCGTTATAGTTTAAGTTATTCAATTTGAGACTAGGAAGAAAGTTGCATTGTAAATGAGAAGCCAATTAGACTTGTCTTTTTCCCTTGAAAATAAAGCCTTTAAAATTTGAATTTTTAAGGTTTAAAAAATGATTCGAATTAGAYAGACACTTTCGCACTTCATTTCAAAGCGAATATGGTGTAACAAGTCCCAAAGCGTGAAGCAAATAGGAGAATTACTAAATTGAAGATAAATGCAAAATGCCATTAATCCTGTTTGAGAGTCAATTGCGTGCGATACAAGTCAGCTTGAAACACATAAAAACTTTGATTAAATTTCGACCTTAACAAGTTCTTTTCTTGTCTAAATGAAGGTGTTTTTAGTTACGATAATATTCCATTGAATATTCACATCTAACAAAACACTTTCACTTAGGCATCTGAATCGCCCATGAAAATGTAATTTCATTACTTTAAACAAGATATTTCTGTTCCAAGAAAAAGAAATGTTAAAAATTATCACAAGCAGGTCGTAAAATATTTGACCAATATTTAAGAAGCTTGTGGTATGCAGAGATCGGAAGCAAATGATTGTCGTTATTACATATGTTTTAACAATACCCGGAAAAATAGCTGGAAGGTGAAATGATATTCTTCTAGTCTTACCATATCGACGATTAGCCAAGGATCTTTACATTCTCCGAGGTATTTAAAGGCAGATASAAGTTTAGTTGGTGGAACACACCTACAGGACGCGCATTACCGATGCAGCAAACCCTGACAAATATTACATATAATGACGTCACTAACAGGTGAAGCACTGGCCGTGAATTAAGAGGTCTGGGGACAGCTCAAAAACCACGAAAAAGCTCTTCTCTCGTTATTTATTGATTTCCTAAAAAACCGTGTTGTTATTCATTCCTTTCTTTACTTTGTTAGTTCGTTTGTTCTGCAGACTGATCCGATTCCTTTTCTTACGAGTTTTCCTCGACTCAAGGACGAGCAAATGTTTTTGGAATGATAGTGACCCCTTACTAAATACACACATCATTGAAGAAAGTAATAAAAAAACACGGCGCCTGCACACTCTACACTTGCGTTTCGTTAGTTTTGAGTTCAAGCAAAACATAGTGTGCGCATGACTAGCTGTACAACAATTACACCCAAAATCGGTGGTCTACCCGAACCCGACTTTAGCGAGAAATAAACATTTCTTTAAACAGTTTCGATTAAATATAGGTGAATGTTTTTTTATTCTGCCTTACGGGGTTTTATGATCATATCAAATAAGATTAATTACAAGTGAATAACAAGTCAAGAATACATTTCAAACCGGGTTCTGAAAAGAAATTCGATCGCCATCGTCTTTATCTATTACTTTTGATATACTGAATACTTTATTTTCTTTTCATTACTGTTGTTATATGTTGTTGTAGTTTTTACTTTCTTGAATTGCTTGCCTTTAAATGATTCACTCATCGATCAAAAAAACGATTTGATATCCGCGACAACTAAGCTGTCACAAAAATGTTGATCTTTTAGACACGGCTCATAGGACTGGGCATGAGCAAAGACTCGTGAATATGGCATCGCAGTCTCCTAATCTCCAGCGGTTAATCTTGTTAATGTTTGGCGAGCGACACACAGTCAACGTCAATAACCTTCATTTGTAAAATTTGGTGAGTTGCATCACCGTAAAATTTGTAGTAATTTTTTTTACTAGGAAAATGACTGATATAGTAAATTGCGGTCACAATTTTTTGCTTTGATTTTGCAAGATGGTCGAAAATGGGAACTGGCTTATTTTGTAGCAATAATATGATCTTTAGTACAATTTGCTCGCAAACATCGCTACAACAGGTCAAGCAGTAACTATCAAAAATAACAAGAAATGCAATTGAAAACCACCAACAGCTACAGAGTATTTTAATTGCACACTATTTCAAACAAAATTATCAAATGTATGCAGCCTGCTATCTAAAGTAGAAAGAAAGACCAAATATGCGCAAAAAGTTGAGAAATACGATAAATAATTGAGGATGATACTATTTCTTTTGTCATCAATAAAACATTCAAAGACGCAAGGAAGGAAAAAAGGGCAAATGATAAAATCAAACAGAGCAATTTGTAGTTTATTTTCGTGCGCAAGAACAGATAGACTTGTGTTTTGGCGATTTCAAAAAAAGATAAATTGYAATGTCCTTCAGTTTTCCTTGATTGTCTGGCAGCAGYTCGTTGATCAGCGATAACGTTCTCAGTCCAGTTGTCTGCTGTGCAGCYGCCAGAAGAGTCATCATCARAGTYACTATCACTAGCAGCAATTGTTTTACTGATTGATAATCGTTTGTTCSGAATACCACTGCATCTAGAGCATCCAACACTTTTTTTCTTCGATTGTTCGATCTTAGTTTGCTCGCAAACGTTAGCCATGTACRTCAGCATCTTTGTGAGAAGYTTTTCATGTCCTTCCAGGCGYTTTTGGTGTTCAATCATTTTGAKAACTTTTCCATACACAGCGTCCATTTCATTTGCGTTACTTTCTATTCTTTGGCTGAGYTGATCCATGAAACTATTTAGTGAAATCATGCTATGAAACAGTATCGTTAGCTTTTGACCTTCACTTTTACCTGCATTCCAGGAACCTGGAAAGATAGACCATATGTTATAACCTCATGAGCCGTACCTTTACTCCTTTCTATAATTTCACTAGTATAATAAAAGATGAATGGATGATCAAAAATGTTCAGGAGAGGGGAAGTTTTTTTTACCGTAGGGAGGATGACATATTGAAACTCGAAAAAAGCAGCACAGTCAACTCTAGCCTTGCGGACACCCCGTTTCAACGGACACCTCGATATTGCGGACAGTAAAATACTGAGACCCCGGCGAAAAATACAAAGAAATGACTGAAAGTCACTGTCGTTACTATAAGGACTCTCGCTATTGCGGACACTAAATTACGGTCCCGAGGGTGTCCGTAATAGCGAGAGTCTACTGCACACTGGAACCAAGGKTATACAGATGGTTTATAGAGCTTTGAAAAAGCCTACAGCCCCCCTGACCATGTCACATRTTCAAGCTGACTTCCTGTCAATTCCTCTTCTAACGTACTATCAGGTAGAATCAAGGCCCTTTTTTACCTGCAGCGATTGACATCTGTTGAATCCTATCTAATAGCCGTTGATTTARCGTACGCTCTCTCTCCAGAGCACTTGATTTRTCTTCGAYCAATCTCTGAAGGTAATAAATTTGCCCCTCCAGGCTTGCCTTTTCATGWACTAAAAGGTCTTTAGCCTTTTGTAACTCAGCCAACTTGTCTTCGATTTGCAAAAGAGTATCTCCTATAATCAGAGCAGGAACTGATGATCTTATCAAGTTAAATACATGATCACAAACCCCCCGGGGAGGAGCCGACTATATGTCTGTTCTTCTATAAATAACTGGGAAAGTGATTAGAACTAGAATTGAATTTGTGAAAAATTCTCCCTAACGGCCTTTAAAGCCTGTACGAGATATTTGGGAATTTTCCTTCCTGCAAAGTTGTGAAGAGTTTCCTAGAGCCTATTACTCTTCGTGATTTAAGAAAAATATTTCTAAGTGTATTATATCGAATTATAACTTTGCTGGCAACCATTTTGACTTATACCTGGCTGGCGGGGATATAAGAACAGATATATGTTTCTCGTCGGGAACCCGTCGGCTCCTCTTACCGGGGTGCATTCCTTGTCCTATTCAAATTGGTGAAATGTAGACCCTATCCGAGACTTGAGTGTCGGCATAAACCAGTAGTATTCTCGTCAATATGTCGTCATTTTTTCCTTTTGACTTTTTAGCCTACTAGAAAAATATCGACTCTGCACCTATTCAAGGTAACTACCCTGTTCAGATATGACCGCATGATCAAGAGATTTGTTACATTTGTTCTGATTTGCATACGATGTTTAACTTTGATCTTCTCTTAAAAGTAATATTC